GGAGACAAGTGAAGTCAATCCCTCGACAAACGTTCTGCCGAAAACAGTTACGTTATCACTCCTCTTTCTGTCCTGGCCTATCTATCTACTCCTTACCCTCTTATCCCATTGCCGCCCTATCACAACTTCTCACTTGTTTACCTTCCACTCGTCAAAATGTGTGTCATTTTTTGGCAGATGTAGTGTGGCCTCATCACACTTGCTATTTACCCCGATCCTCCTCTTTCGATCGGCTAATCCGACTCGGGCCTCCAATTCGGATCCCCCTCATGGTCCCGTAAATCCGTTTCTATTCCTTCTGGTTAATCGATTTCACTCGGTTCCAGTCCCAGTGTGTGTTTCATTCCGGACGTCATTTCTCAAGGCCCTAGAATCACGTACACTGCTGCCTTACCGAGGCTCTGATTCCCATGCTTGCAAATATCAGGTTTTGCCTTCACGTGTAGTCTCCTTGATTAAGCCTGAATAACCTGAGCAAACTGTGGACGTCTATCCCTAACTCTGGTCGCATGCGGCATTTTACGTGGATTTCTAGTACATTTTGGCCATAATGCCGAATTTCTGCGACGGTTTGCTTATCCGTCTGTCCAGCGCCCTGACTGCTAGGCCCCCAAAGTTGTACTGGTTTATTTGAAATGGACATCACTCACTGAAAACGTCTTCGCTTTACTGCCGAACCCCCCATCCAATTTCGTCTTCGCGATCCCTTTTCCTCCAGTTAGAGATAGATCCCTGATCAAGGCGCCTCATTTTGGCTGGTCTTGCTCTATTCTTGTTTTCCCCGAGTTTGCTTAGGCAGTAGGCAAAGGTATCGCTAACTCTACCTTCGTCTAATCTTCTGTTCATTCCATTTTTCTCCCCAAGCATGTCAATGGCCTCCCTAATCATCCGCTTCCTTGTGTTGTCACCGTATGGGGCCCTTCTTTCTGTTGCCTTCCAATCGATCTCGTGTCTACTCTGTGCGATGCGTTGCGCTCATTTTTATCTTTCGGTATCCATTTTCCTGCGTAGCTTTTGATGTTCATTGATTTGTATGCTAAATTTTCTCCCAGTTTCGCAAATATATTTCTGTTAGCAGGCGATGTATGATATACAGTAAACTCCTGAACAAGCCAATTTATCTACCCTTTCATGTTGCGTTGGT